CCATCCTTTCAAAAGTGCTCTGTCCCCACTTTTACTCATTGAAGATACCAGCTGTCTCGAACAGATGGCAGGACCTTTGAAACCCAAGTCATATGACTTCAACAGTTTGCGGCGTAACGCGTTTCTTGAACATGACCTGCGTCTTCTTCATATTTATATTCTTCCCTCTTTGATTCTGAAATCACTTGGCTATTGGATTTTACCTTGGAGTTCTTTTGGTGACCCTCAGAGCATAAGAGTTTCGTCCGCAAACCGCTGGTGGCTAAGATCGAAAGTGACTGAGCACAATTACACTTTAACTTCATCAAAATGTGCGCGTAGCGCATTCAGCGTCAGTTTATGTCTGGCCTGATTTCATCATCAAGTGTGATATTTACTTCACATACATTGGTAGGAGTATTCCAGAACACAAACATAACTCTGTTTGTAACACACTAATCAATCACTTGCTAGCGCTTCTTTCCAGACGCATCAAAGTACAGGGAAATGACTGCGTAGCTTAAGGTAATTAACAATTAACCAGAAACTTTTCAACGTGACCGAGTCCCAACTCTACACCTCCAACACGCCGTAATAAATTATCATAAATTGCACCACCGTTATCATTCAACATCCCTGCGAAACAAGACGAGTGCTCCGTTGCTTATACTGTAGGAGAAGAGGTGGCGATGGAATGAAAAGTATGACTTTATTTAGCCAATTAATTATGCAACTACAGTTCTAATGGCAATGGTCGTACCGCAACATGCATGAAAAGTTTGTCTTAACAAGTCAAGGATCAATAGGTTAAATCTTACCGCTATGGTACTGTCACTATCCTTATGCAGTAAACAATTCAAATGAACTGAGGGCCTGGTAGTAATGCAGAATCACGTTCCTGCTAGTTGAGACTGTGATTGCTCGTCACTCGTCAATGATATTTGTCCGCGTTCAAGGATCACAAAGTGCTCTATTTTTATGAAGGTGTGGAAGGGCTGGAATGACGTCAGCAAAGTTTACGAGGGTTGGAACTCCAAATGAACTCTTGAACAACATCTCGCTAAAGATATGATGAGCAAGAGAGACCATTGTTGAAGCATGGGCGTTTCTGGTGCGTTCATAACGAGGGTAAGTCGGATGAAAAATGAACTAAACAATACAAATAATAAATCGTTTTAAACTGTCTTAATTTTGCCACAAAAAACGTTCATATTTTCAGTTCTTAAAACAATTTGAAAATTGCCACTTGAATACAACAGACAGAATGGCTCCAGAAAAATTTTTCTTACGCATGACATGCAACAAAATCACCTGAATCACATAGTCGAGATCTTGTTGTCAAAATGGAAAGCATTAATAAATAATTTTGCTTTTGGCAAAGTTTTGTTAAGAAGAATTGAAAATAGCTTTGACTCTATAGTTGTTTTTATGCGGCATTTAATATGTTATTAACGTTATTATTCATGAACTAGTACATCTATTGTTTCTACTGGGAAACTGAGATATTCCCTTGATGATGTTAACTGCGCGCTTCTTTTTTCGACAAAAGGCAGAGATTGAATACACTAACCCTACATGGAAACGTAGCTCATAAATGTGAGGCGCTAGACTAAATGCAGGCTCGAGTAATAAATCAAACGATTTGCTTGCTCGTGTAATAGTGCAGAAAACTACGTTTCAACGGTTTTTGAAATCCGTCTGATAATGTGTCAGTTAAATAAAAGAAATAATGGACGAAGAAATCCAATTTTCTTGGTTGCCTCAATTTCCGAATTTTGCATCGACAATTAAGTTTCATGTCATTGTCAAATCAGCATTTAAAATTGATCTAATAGAGGGTTATTCACGAACTATCTGTCTAGATTGAATGACATGACGTTTTCCCCCTTAAGTCGTATTTAAATCGAACTACTGGTGAAGCAGAAAATAAATACCGTACGAATCAGAAAATACATCTAGTTAAAAATCAGCGGTACAAGCCACATTAAAACATGGATCGAAAACTTGTTTCTCTCGCGTATAACTGCACTCGCATTGCAAGTCAATGTTTCATTGACATGCATGCTTTTCCAAGTAAAATATGAAGAATATAATCTAATTCCTTGTCGAGCTGTGAACAAATCTGCAAAACAACATTATTTATTATCTTATGTATAACTGGTAAACTCCCTCAAAATTCTGACCCCGGTACCTCATCGTGGTGTGGGAGTGAAAACCGCCAGAGTGCCGAAGCACGGAGGGGTGACACCTGCCCTGGCAACTCCTTGCAAGCCGAAATGACGCAGCACTGCATCTCTGGCCGGCTAAGCATGTACGGTACCACCGACAGCCTGGACCAGCGAGTGGGAAATTGACAGGTCCAACATACCCGTACAGAACAATAAGGTGATATGGGCCCCAGGACCCTGAGCATTCTTGGAATCATCCTCCAGCAGCCGAAGGCCGCTAAGAATTTCAGGATGCCCCATGCCGCCAAAAATGAAACGGACCCGACCTCTCGATATGTGCCTTCAATTGTAGGTCACTATGGAGGGATGAATACATCAACCATCTTCTCCAGGAGATTAATAGAACATCTTGCAATGTTCTCAGCGTCTGCGAGGCACTAAGCAAGTCTGAACTGAAAGCAGCTTGGAGAGATGGTAACATGATTTTTGGCAAAGAAGAGGAACAAAGGAACATAGGCGGAATCGGGTTTATCAGAACAAGAAATGGTCTCTACTGATCCTTTCCTGCTGCTTTAGTTTATCGTAAGTCGGTGAACTCCTTCTATGGCCGGATTCCAACAAGACCCTCAAGATCGTTC